AAAAAAAAAAAAAAAAAAATGTTTATTTTTGCGCTGCCATTCGGACAGGGCGACAGAATAGTTAGTAACGCTTGCACGTCCGTTGCCTCTTCCCCCCCCTTCTTTTCTCTTTTTTTTTTTTTTTTGTGCTTCGTTGAAATGTATGCCTTACGTGTGCTATAGTAATATACCTACCCATACGTGCATACAACCATTTGAATGAAAATGCTGTTTTGTAATTTTGTTTAAACTAAACCTTACCTCTTCAAAAGTCAAATGTGTTGTCTTAACCCCCGCTTGGGGGTCAGGAGGAGGAATCTTTTTCCTTTTTCTCCGCATAAGAAAAAAGGACGAATAGGGGCATAAAACAGGGATGCACATTGAGGAGGGCTACATAACGTGAACATTACATGGAGGATTAAAAAAATATATATATATTCCCCCATTTTGCTGCTTATAGATGGACAAAACAAAAAAAAATTATTTGTGGGGTGAGTGTGCAATGCTGCACTGACCAAATGGGCATTGTACAGGATAGTGTGGCTCCCGCTCGGGGTGATTGCAGCGGGTTAGTATTCAACGTAGCTTCGTTACGGTTTGCGGCAACTTTTTCTGCTTTTTTTTCTTTTTCTTGTGCGCCGCCGCTTCCTCCGCTTCATCGCTATCGGAACAAATCGAAGATGAGCAAAAACAGGGAGGTGCACACGAGGGCGAAGAAGATGAGCGAGTTCATGCTTTTCTTGTTTTGAATTTTACTGAGGTAGGTATTCCCTTGGGCCACGTTCTCTATGCTCTCCTCCACCACGTGCTCTATCATGTTCAAGTTCTCATTCTGCTCATATATCTTTGTAACAAATATGTTCATTAATTTACTTATTTTGGCGATTTTATTTTTAGTTTCCATGATGTAGGTGTTTTCTTCCTTTTCAAAGAGGTCCACGTACTTTTTGAATTCCAGCTGTTGGTTCGTGCCCAGGGTGTAATCATGGCTGCCGCTCAGGATATCATTATGGCTGCTGCTCAGGGGGGAGAGAAATTCCCCCTTGGCCCTTTCCGCCTCTTCCTCTTCAACATAGTTGAACGTATTGAACTGGACTCTCTTGTCCCTTCGCTTTCTCACAGTTGCGTTTTTCACCAAGTCTTCCTTGGAATTGATATGTTGCTTTTTTTCCCCTTCGTTCAAAAGGTAATTTTCACATTTCTCCTTTTCTTCGTAATGGCCGAGGTTATTCTTTTCCCCATTTTTGTACTCCTCAGTATTGTTGTTCTTGATGGAGTTACCGAACTGGTGATAATTTGTGTTCGTCTCCTGGTGGGAGGTGGCGCCTCCTCTTCCATGCGTTAAGCCCAAAAGATCAGCAGGTTGTTTTTTAAATTGGCTTTCACACGAATTGGTGCCATATATGTAACGGTTCAATCTGTTAAGGTAATCGAAGTTACACTTGACACCCTTCACGTCGTAGAAGCAAAAGTTCGTGTACCGATTCAACTTCAAGTGGTAGCTACTTAAGTTGTGTTCATACTTGTTAATAATGTCAATGAAAATTCCAAGCAGGCTGTTTAGGCAGCCGAGCACGTGCTTGTGTGTTTCCGTCTCCGTCTTCGATTTTAAAAGGTTAATGTCTTCAGATATTTTATTAACAGCGTAGAGTAAATTCCCTTTATTTTTGACCCTCGTCTTTTTCTCCTTCACGTGTATGCTTCGGGGGATTGTTAAGCTGTACTGCTTTAGCGTGTTATTATCTATGTAATCACAGTTGGCAAGCAGGTTTGTGTATATTTTGCTGCTCTGAATAAGAAACTCATCCTTGCATTTGATTTCCCTGCGAGTCAGGGCCACTCCTTTGTCGCGCTTCCTGCATAAGCACATGAACTCGTCTGAGCGATCCATTTTGGGGGAGTTGCCGCTGGTTTCGCCAACTGCGCGCGCGCGTTTGCCACCCTCATTTTTACCGCTCCGAATTGCCGCTTTCTCGTTTCAAAATGACCCTGCGTGGGATTTCTAATGAAGAGCAATTTCCTTCATGGGAAAAAAGTTACAAAAAAAAAAAAAAAAAAAAAAATGTGCCACACAATAACAAACTTGAAATGCTATACAATCTCTACCTCGCCTGTTAACACGTTTGTAAAAAAAAAAAAAAAAAAAAAAAAAAAAAAAAAATCGGTGGGGCATTAACATATGCCCTACCTTAATTACGAAAAAAAAGAAAAAAAAGGGAAGGCTACATGCCCCCCCCTACAAACATGTATAGATGGATGTATGTATGCATGTATGCATTTGCCTGTGCATACTTTTACCATCCCAACGACACCGCAAAAGGGGAGAAAAAAAAAAAAAAAAAGTGTGGCGCTGGAGATGTCATGATGAGTGAGGGAAAAAGTCTCCCTGGCCCATGTGTACGGTGTCATGCCTTTATTACCCTGCTGAGTAGTAGTTCCCCCCTTCCAACTGCGCATATATGTTGGAGGCATTTCCTATCTGTAGCCGCCCTCTACCCCAAATCGTGCATCTTCCCGCGCAACACACAAATGGACTTCCTACACACGTCGCGCATATAATCATTGTACCCCTCATCATGATACATTTTATTTTTGGCGGCGTAGTTGAGCAAACGCTGGTAATGTTGGAGGGCCTGCACGATGAAGGTTTTGTCGTCCACTGCGGACAGCGTTTTGCACACATAAAAGTATATGTCAAAGTAGGCTTTTTTTTCCTCTTCGTTTTGGAAGGAAGAATCTGGGTTGGTCAACTCTTCCTCAATTTGGTAGGTATTCAAAAAGAAGAAATAATATTTCACGATTTGTAAGATTAATCCCTTTTCCTGACTAGTGAGAGGTCCTCCGATGTGATCATCAAATTGGAGGTTCCTGTTTTTGTTCAGGTCATTCATGTGCATGTTATCGATAAGGGTGTTACATTTTGTGCAAATGAAAATATCCTTTAAGATGAGTGCACACTTCAGAGCCATTTCTCGCTGGTAGGACAAGTACTGCTTATGTGTTATGTGGGCCAAAGGGGCACTCATGCAATTTAACATTTGTCTGCAGTTCTGTATGTACTGTTCATACGAATTGGTAAAAAAGTTAAAGTAAAAATAGGATTCACTTGAATTCAGGAGGATATCCAAGTGTAATGTTGTTTCGTTATGCAGGGAGAAATATGTGAGCGTTTTTTTTTTATATTTTTTTACCTTTTTAAATAAAAATTGTACTTGGTCAAAGTTGTGGCATAGGTAGTGTGCATGCTCGCAGTGCCCTATGCAGGTGCTCTGTTCTTCCTGCCCTCCATGGGGGGTACGCAAAGGAGGGGGATGCCACTGCTCACACTCTTGATCACCCCTTCCCTTGGAGAAACCTGTATACACCTTTTTCATCTTATCTGTGGCTAGCTTGGCGTACTCTGAGTGACCAAAGTTGCAAACTTCGAATTGCATGTGGGGAAGGTTAACTTTTTCAAATTGAAACATTTGAAGAAACTCAGCAGCGTGGTCCTTGTCCAGGTGGATGTTTACCCAGGGGGTCGCGTCGCCGTTCGGCAGGGCAGTCGCTTCGGTAGCGGTGGTTATTGTTACCGGTTCTTCTTCTGCTACTGCTGCTGATGATGATGTGAAGGGACGAGCACCTGCGCGTTCAGCTTCGGCCAAAACCTGGGAGAAAATTTCCCCCACCAAGCCATCCACTTTTTTTATCTTCCCCTGAAGGAACGTCGAACAGGACATTTGCTCATTCGCCCCAGGGAGGACATGTTGACTCCTCCTGCCGACGTCCCCCTCCATCTCCTCCTCCTCTTGACCCAATTCAAAATTGAAATTATTGCTGTGCACAATTTGTTCACGTATAAACTCATAAGCGATGTTGCTATCGCCCACGAGGGAGAAAACGTCTCGAAGACGTTTCGATGGAAATTTCTCTCCACATGAATAATGAGTAGGTTCTTCATTTGGCATAGTCTTCACATCAGAGGTGCTCACTGGTATGGTGCGTTCCAGGTAGGAAGCTACTCCCAGATCATCCTCCTCCTGGTCGATGACGTTATCACGAATACAAATTTTGTTTTTGTAAAAGTCGTCCCTACTGCATAATTTTCCCCCTTCTCCACAACCCCTTGCTGTGTTTTTCTTTTTCCCTTCGTTCCCTTTTTTTCCCTCCAGTGGGTTGCTACCCATATGGTGTGTGTTGTTCCTGCCACCACACCCTTGAAGCAACGAACGAATGGTCCCCTTCACCTTGTCCATGCGTCCATAAACCTCACACGCCTTTGCATACGTGTCGTCGTCGTCTCCTCCTCCTGCTCCCCCCCTTTTATTCGCATAACGCAAATAATTGTGTTTCAAATATATAATATAAATCTCAAGCAAGTTCCTGTACGCCATGTACTTGTACCGTTGAGAAAGTTTTTTTTTTTTTTTTTTTTTTTCTCCCTTGAAATGATGAAATAATTTGCTAACGTCTTTGGTCATACAGAGGGAAAACAAAACAAGATACTCGTAAATGCTAAGGAAGTGCACATCTAGGAAAAGGTATATGCATTCGTTTATGCTTTCAAACAGGGACGTGGTAGTTTCCATTATTTTATTCAGCTTGTTCTCAATCTGTGTGTCGATCCTTTTCTCTCCTCCCTCCTCTGCATCGACACATCTGGGGTCCCCATAAAAGTGGCAGTCCTCTTGTGTTAACTCCTCAGTCAGGTAGACGAGCTCACCATGCGGGGGGGTCGTCTCGTTGGGGTTTCCTCCCGCTATGGGTTCTTCCCTCGTGATGAGAGGCATCGACCTACACTTCTGCCTCACCTCCTCTATGTCACTTCTCAGGAGGAAGGAGTGCAAATCGATACTTTTCATGGCAAGGAAAGTGGACGCCGTGATGAAGTTAAACTCGAGGAACACTTGGTTGATGTGCTGAATAATGTTTATCATGTCTTGGAACGAGTTGTATTTTTTTTTCTCTCCCTTTTCCGCGTTTGCCCCTTTCTCCGCGCCTGCCGCTTTCCCCTGGTTAGCACACTGGAGGAACAAAAAACTGTGCGTCAGGAAGAACAAGCAGGAGTAGGCGTCCCCTTCCCGTTTGCAATTCAACCCCACCATCTTACACACGCGGGACAAGAGCCTCGCGACAGATACGTCGAACCTGAGGTAGACCTTGCCGTCCACGCACACGTAGTGCACAATTGCTTTGTCCTTAAAGTGCGGGAAGGAAATTAGAAGGAGGAAGAGGCTGACGTGCAGGTGGTTCTTCTCCCCTTCGTCACTTATCAGGTGCATGTGGTAGAAGCAGAGCGCGAGGTACATCAGGGGGAGATGGAAGGCCCACCGTTCGTTTCCCGCAGAGGGGCAACCGCCACTGCCGCTAACGCGACTGCTGCTAACACCTCTCTGCTCCGCTTTGTCCGCACGAACAGGTTCATCCCTACCCTCCCTCATACCCCTCAGCAGCAGAGATATGCACATGTAGAACCCCTCCATGAGGTCCTGGCACAGTTGGGCAAAGTTACATTTCTTGTCCACCTGACTGGCGTCGTTGCCCTCTTCCGTGGTTAACTCTTCTGGTAGTTTTTCTTCCCTCAGGTCATTTATACCACCCAGTGGACTCCAGCCATCAGGCTGGCACAGCAGTTCCTCCCGTTTGAAATTCTCCCCATGCTTGCTTTGGGTTAGTGTTTGCTTTATTTTGTGTATGTTTTCTTCAATTATTTTTTTTTTTTTCCTTTCCTGTTTCAGCTCTGCCCCTCGTTTGGCCTCTTCACTCTTAGCAAGGATTTTATTAACCAATAGGATGAAATGAATTAAATAATTACTCACCAAGTCGTTGGTCTTTATCTCCTGCAGTCGTTTTAATTGGCGTAATTTCTCGCGTAGGAGATCCTCCTCTACGTCTCCCCATAAAATGGAGTTCATTGTAACGAAAAAGGGAGAACCATGAAAAAAGGGATTATATATATCATCACATCCCACAGGGGGATGAAATGACAAAAAAAGTCACGCATACAAAAGCGTGGCAAAGCAGCGTAATATTCATGTTCGTACATGTAGCTTTGCTCTGCTGCGCTAACGCGCCAGGCAGGAAAATGGAGTTTAAAAAAAAAAAAAAAAAAAAAAAAAAAATCACAAAAAAGGGAAAGTCCATTTGTACATATGCGTGGGATAAAACCCCGTCAACACGCATGCACTCTTGCCTGTGCGACCAAAAAAAAAAAAAAATGGCGACAGTCGTCGTCCCCAGGCCAAATCTTGCATAGGGTTGTTGCAAAACAGATGATGTGATGATAGGCAACCACTTATTCTTCACTTCCACCCGCAAGACGCGTTAAAGGGGGAAGTCAACAATACGCACTTTAAAAACGCTTCCCGCAGCGTCGAAAGTTGTAGAAGCAACTCTCGCCCAGTTCTACACCTGCACACGTATAGGGGGGCAGTCCTGTGCGCGCGTTTGGTAAGCTTGTGAACTTCGCCCGTCCACTTCGCCCTCTTCTCCAATCACACGTGGGTCTCAATAAACCTGTTTAAAAAGGCACAAATGGAAAGGTGCCTCTCCTGCTTGTACACCTTGCTCGTCCCAAAACGGATCTCCCCGCGGGTCTGCAGAAAAGGAAAGGTGCTTCTTCATATGAGAAAAATATAACAAAAAAAGAAAGAAGCCTTCACCAAAAGGGGGATGATCTAAACACGAGTAACACGTCGGTAAATCGACATCCCCACGCATGCACACATCTGCATTGTGTCCACGCTGGTCGTGGTGGTGGTGATGGTGGGTGGGGGGCGAATCCCCATGCAGGCGTACCTGCTTCACTTGTTTTAGGCGCAAAATTAGGAGCGACACAAAAGTGGGATGGTAATACATAACGAGGTAGACTAATTCTAAATTTTGGAGAAAGTACTTATGCCTTTTCCCCCTCTTGCGGGTTGCTTCTTTCGCCTTCAGTGTGCCTTCGCCGTCGCCTTCGCCTTGTATGTCTACTCCAACTTCGGCTTCAAGTTTTAGGTTAAGGAGGGATGCAATGAGGCAGTCCTGGAGGGGAGAAGGGGATGGAGGGGAGCAGTGATCAAGTCGCGGCTTAGCACATCGATGCAGCTACATCAACGCGGGGAAAGTGACGACGTCGCGGCTTAACACATCCGCTACACATATGCCAACCTGGAGGAAGAACGCGCGGTGCTTGTCCAGGAGGGCGTCCAGCACGGAAGAATCAAAGCGTAGGAAGAGTAGCGACGATATGGTGAAAAGAACCTTAAGCGCGAGGAAAAACCCGCGCTCGTCCGTTCGAATGTTCCCAGCGCAAGCATTGAAGTAGTTCTGTTCAAAGAGGTGGTAGGGCTCTGAGTTGGCTCCTTGTCCCTTTGCGGTCATCAAAATAAAAAAGTAGTAATGAAAAAAAAAATTCACAGAAAAGGAAAGGATGCTGCTTATATTGCGAGTGAACATCTGGTCGTCTTTCCTTTTGTTGTACTCGTCTTCACATATAATGTAGACAAACGGCACTCCGTTCAGCCTGTCAATTGGTATATTGCATGGAATAACTAAATCGTAATCTTTGGAAAAAAAATTATGAACATGTTCAGGTGGAAATTTCACAAAATGATCATTTTGAACAATCTGAATTGACTCCACAATGTTAAAAATGCATCTGTAAAATATGTCATACAGGATTTTCACATGCACAATGTTTTTCATGGTTGGGTCTAGTATGAGGAGAAAGAGTTTCGTTACAAACTGCTTGTTGTGAATGTACCGATCTGCCTGCACATGTTTCATAATTAAAAGGAATGCTAAAAAGTCCTTTTCATCATCTACCCATATGGCGAACAACTCCAGCAAACTCAGAAAATCATCCACATAGTGCCCATTTTCGAAAAGTAAATAATTGCAAAAGACGTGCACCATTGAAGTTAATTGTTTGTCAAATTTTTCCTTTAGCATTTTAAAAGGTTCGCATGATCGATTCAATTCTCGTAAGTGGGACTTTACATCTTTAAAAAATTCAATCACAACTTCGATAGCCTTTTTTATTTTTCCTATAATGGTGTGCAGTTCGCCCATGGGGAGGTTCACTTGGGGGGGGTGGTCGGTTCCCGTTGGGGGGGAAGAGGTCTCCCCTGCTGCGTCCACCTCTTTTCCCCCCGTTGCACAAAGCACATGTTGACTTATAAAATTAATCACATGTTCAATATTGTTGCAGATGAGTGGGATGATCTGTGCGGAGGAGGTCCCTGCCTCAAAGGGGAAAGTGTTGTCCCCCTTATTACCACCTTTGTCTCCCCCCATGTACTTCATCACCTGTTCTGCAAATAAGTAAAGCTCTACGTTCATATATGATAATGGCGTTTTTAAAATGTCAATGCTGTTCTCACTTAGGAAGGAAAAACTCAGACACGAGTAGACAGTAGAATACAAAGTGTACAGGACCTCCTTCTCCTCTTGTACCTTCACTTGGGAAAACAGGTATATAATATTAGCATACAATTTATATACGCTTCTTTTGTCCAACACGTTTACACATCCTTGCTTCTTTATGTATGCATTTAGATTCGTTTGACATTTCATTGCTGTTACTCTGTTTTGGCTGTACGTTTCTATCACCTTGTTGAGTAAGTGGAAGTACTCCTTCACGAAACGGCTGCCGCTGAGCTTTAGGAACGTGTTGTTTAGCAGGATTAGAGACATGTCCACGCTTCTGCTGTTTAGAAGGAACTTTGGTTCCCGCGCGAGGCTTATCAGGTGGGAGGCTTCGTCCTGGGCGCGCGCATCCCCTTTAGGGAGTTCCCCGTTAGGACGTTCCCCTTTAGGTAGTTCCCCCTCAGGTAGCTCCCCCTTTGGAATTTCCCCCTTTGGGGGGGTTGCCCCTCCGTTGGGCGTCCCCACCCTCGGGCGCATCGCCTCCACCATCCGGATGTTCTCGCTGAGTGCATCGAAAAGGAGCTCCACCAAGCTGATGCGCTCTTCCTGGGAGTCTTCCTCCGCAGGGGAATCCTCATCTCCTGAGGAGTCGTCCTGCCTGCAGAAGGCATCCCCCTCGAGTATGTCTCCCGCTTTGCACACTTCTTCTCCCCTCCCAGGTGCCACATCAAAGTCTTCCCTCTTTTCCCCTTCATGGCGGAACTCCTTAACCCCCTTGAGCCCACCCCGTGTTTCTCCCAAGGGGCCTTGCAGAGCAGGATGTCCCCCTTTCGCTTTCTTTAGCTTCTTCTTCAAAAAATACATGTCTGCGTCAAAGCTGACGCTGTTCCCTTCACGAGGAAAAAAGGAGTTATCCACAATCTCCCTTTCATTTAAAAAAGGTAGCATCTTCAAAAGGTATTCTAGACATTCAAAGTATATGTCGTTGATTCCGTCCGTGTTGTAGTTCCCCCCCACATCTTCCAATGCGTCGTCCGATGCGTCCGACTCTGGCGACTCCCCCGTGTCGCTTACACATGGGGATAGTTTCTCACTCCGTGTGTGCGAGGTGAGAGATTCTTCCCCTTTCCCCTCCCCCTTTGTTCCTTTCTTTGCCCTCCGCTCCACCGCCTCCACCTTTTCATTCCATTCATTCACAAAATCGCAATAATAAAAAATGATCGAGTTAACAAAAGGCATACACCTCTTTAAGTAAGTCTGAGTCGACTCAGCTATTAAGCTGTTGACTAACCGGAGAGCAAATAACTGGAAGGAGTTGTCTGACCGGAGTAATAACGAAATGAAGTGAGCACTGATGCATTTTGAAATTTTTAATTTTTCTCCTTCATGTAGATAGCTGGTATATCTAGAAAGTTTTAAAATGTTTGCAAATTTGTCTTTTGTGTTATCACTGTTTTTTATCCTTCTTAGGATGACCTTTATTTGTTCGCTTTTGTTCAAATGGTTCTTTTTCTCCCCCTCTGTGTGTTTTGCGTGTATTTTGCTCAGATCGCTATCTTTCTCCCCCATCTTCTTTTATTTTTTTTGCGTGCATTTCTGTTTTCACTCGCCAGCGAGTGGGTAAAAGTGGAAGAACAAGCGACGTGGACAAAAACAACGTGTTGACAAAAAAAACAAAAAAAAAAAAAAGTTACTTCTTCCCCCTTGGGGAGGTAACACAGAAGCAACCGTCTTTCACAGCCAAAGGGTCAGTCGCGCCGATTTACAAAGTGGGCGCGCTGTTATTATTTTTGCTTCTCCGTTAAATGAAGGTTAGCACGGTGGGCGCAGTCTCAGCGCAGTGAGAGCGATCAGCGCGGTAAGCGGCGCTTTGATCCGCTTGGCTCTATTTTTACGAGCGGCAAATATGATGCACGCTGAGCACTGAACGAAGATGCAAACGGAAACGTCACATATATAAAGAAGTAGGCCCGCGATGTGATGGTGTATCGGAGGATTCCTTTGGGGGGGATCCCTTTGCGACTTCCACTTCCAACTGCCCTTCTTCAACTTAAGGGTCCCTCGAACCCCTTGATCGCTGTTTTATTTTTCAGGAAAAAACAATAAAATAAAAAAGGGTGGGTTAAAAAGAAGAATAACGCCATGCCGACAGGCATGCACAAATGTGCCAGTAGTCATATGGAATTGCCCCGCCCCATCACTTTGCAACAACACGGGGACACGAAAAAAACAACGTGCAACGGGATGGTGTTCTAAGAAGAGCTATGCAGTTGTTTCCCCATTTGTATTTTTTTTTTTTTTTTTTTTTTCTCTTTACTCATTCTCCGCTTGGGCTCCTTCGAACTGCAAATTAAAGAAAACGAATAAAGAAGGGCGGAAAATATTTGAACACACCGGGGTAAGGGGCACTTCCACGTGCGTCCCCCCTTTCGGTAAGAATTATCACAAATGGGGAGGAGGCAACGAAGAGGGTACATTCTTCTATTTCTCACTTATTTGTTTGATTTTATTTTTTTTTTATTTTTTCTTTTTTTGGGAAGAGTTACCTTTTGTTGTTCTTCCCAAAGATAAACCCTTCGTGCGAGACCTGCATATGTGTACGTTATTTTTATTTTATTTTTTTTTTTTTGCAAAATACTCGGTCAGCACAGAAAAAGGGGGAAGTGCAAATGGGGTGTCCCTTCTTCCCCCACGCTCACATTTGGCCACTGCATTTTTTTAAGACTGCCTCAGACGCGCCTTACATATTTGGGGAACCCTTTGCAAAACCAGGCATAGTTCCGGAAGCTTTTAGGAACACCTTTTACTCTTTAAGGGGGGGGAAAAAAAAAAAAAGTTACAAATGGGTTGAGTTACGTGTGCTTTAGACTTCTTTTTCCGTGCCGCTTCAACTTATCGTTGTGTTCCTCCTACGCAGAATAGGAGCTGCCTGTGCTTACCCGTTAGCTGTGGACATCTAAGGGGGGAAAATAAGGTGGGGGAGTATCCATTGGATGTGTATTTTTTTTTTTTTTTTTTTTTTTCTTTAAATCCATTTTTAAAAAGACGTTACCGTGAAGTAGTCACAATCGACTTCCCTGCATTTTTCTGAAAGGAATTTAAAAAAAAAAAAAAAAAAAAAAAGATAACGTGGAATTCCTTTTACTCTTTTCAAGTCACACATTTTGCCCCTTTTCTGTTCGCATGCAGTGGAGGAAAAAAAAATTGCGTCTCCTGCTACCGTATAGGTCATCCAAGCGCAAGGCTGAGTTCATCTCGAATACCACATCCTTCTTTTCGCACACCCCTGTAATGGTGCATAAAAAAGGGTGGGGGCTTCTTCAGCGTAACAACCTCGAGGTGTCTGTTGTGGGAAATTCCCCTAACCGCTTAACATATACAGCCCCCGACTGGGTGGGGAAAAAATTCCCCCTTTTTGACCTTGAACATTTGGAAACACTTCGTAGTTGTGGGGCAGCCTTCCGCTAACTGACAAACGGGGAGGGGACAATTGCGCGCGTGGGTATGCAGCTTCATGAGTAAGCTGCATGTGTGGTGTGCGACTGCTATGCCGCTACTCCTTCCTTAAAGATTAAGGGGCGACCCCGGGGAGGCGCCTTTTTTTCTTATCCTTTACTGTAAGACATTTTGATATAAATCTGGGGGGTATAAATTGGGGTAGAAAAATGAACAACCAATTTTGCGCTTCCTCAGAGGCATGTTTTAAGGGGGGAGGGGCCCATTCTCCCCATGAGCATCTGCCATCCCATTTTTGTCCCCACATGCATATGGCACACATCCTTAAACTCACCTTGGAGTTCCTCTGAACTGTTGCATTTTTATACGAGGAGGATTCACACAGTGTGTACCCATCGTAGTTGAAAATTATGAAAACGCAGTTGCTTAAGGCGTTACACCTGATTTGGACGGGGCACACACACACAAAGGGGAGTGGAGTGGTGTGGGGAAATGTGTTCACAAGGAATGCTGTGAAGGAAGGAGAAATAATTTGGCGACCCATTCCATTTCAAAATATGCTGCATGATTACTTCTGCTCGGCCTCATTCACGTCTATGTATTTTTTCCTAAGCAGCGGTTTTTCGCACAGGGCGTTTCTGCAAAAGGGGGGAGGGCATTTTTTCTCGTGAGAAGGGGGAAAAGGGCAACACATGGGGAGAGGGGGGGAACACTCTACGACGTGTAGCTGCACATGCGCCCATCTGTACATCTTTCCCCTTTTACATGTCCTCCACATGAAGGTACAGCTCCTCCTTTTCCGCTTCACCTGTGAAATTGACAGGGGGGGACACAATGAAAGGAGGTGAGAAGGAGGACCCACGCGAGGGTGGGGAAATGCATGCGCTTTCACTGAAACCCGCGCTGCTCCAACCCTTTTTTAAAAAAAAAACCTTGAAACTCAACATTCCAGGTGTTGTCGTCCCCTCTTCGGGCCTTTACGTTGTCTGCAAGAAATGAGTAGCACACAAAAATGGTAAGATAAAATGACTTGTCTCCCATTTCGTGAAGAGCAAAGTGGTGAGATAGGTCTTTTACGTACACATGGGAAACGCCTCCAGAGCGTCTGACGTGCAGGTGTATTTTACAACCAGTTTGTGGAAGTCCTTTATCATGGATAGGACTTTGAACGTTTCGTCGTTCACAAGGATCTGACGTGGGGAATGCACATATGGACAGTTGGGAACATACGCACAGTAAAAAAAAAAATACTTTAGTGAGGACTTCCTCCCACCACCACACCTCTCTCTTCTCAGTGCTTCCACTCCACGGAAGCTGAAACCAAATATGAGGCTTCACCAAATTGTGTATTTTTTACATCGCAGCTGGGTTTCCCTTCACATAACATTTGAACAACGGGCAGGGTGTGCGGTGCGTCTAAGGAGTCTGGGGGAGTCCCCACATGGTATAAAAAGGGAGTCATCGTATTTGAAGCATTTTCCAACATGGGTCACTCTCACACGTGTGCAAATGTATAACGTGAGTATACACTATGCGTTCATGCAATGGACATCTGTGGCGCCATTTTTTTTTTTGAGGTAACTTTTTTTTATAAGAAAATGATCAACGGAAGGATTTCCATAACTAGCATCCAAAATGTGGACCGACTGATCTCCCCCGCAATGGAGAGTTATTCTTTCCTTCAAATTTCCACTTAATATTTTTATGGGGCCATTTTCAATTTCATCGTTTGGCTTTAAGCAGAGAAATGTATAGCTACACAAGGTGGTGATGAGCACCACGAGCGGGATCAACCTTACGCGATTCATTTGGGGGAACAAAATGGGGAAGCACACAAGTGGGACAATTTTTACTCGATATGTGCGACTTAGTCGGGATTTATAACTTAGTCGAGCGGTGCAACTTAGTCGAGAGAGACACCCAACTGAGACAATTCATAAAACGAAATTGTCTTCACATGGAGGAAGAATCTCCCACCTAATAAAATAATGCGCACAATATTTAACGATGGTGGAATTTGCTGGCAAGTCCGTCACTGCTGGTGAACTATGGTGTAGGTACACAACAGCGGGAAGTGTGTGTAGGGGGGAAGCGGGGGAGTGGGAACATACAAAACGCCCCGCGTGCGCATGAAACATGCACATATGGATACACCTGTTTTGGAGAAAGTGAATCGAAGACATTTCCATTTATGTTTCCCTTTCTTTTTTTACCTAATTTTTTAATCGCATCGCCATGATGGGCACTTGGCCTCCGAGTAGTTCGTCCCCCATTTTTGTGGTCCACTTTGGGCAGAAGTCAAAAAGGCGATGGAACAAAAAAGGAGGGGAGAATGTTCCCAAGCTGAAAATTTACAAAACCGGTGCATGTTTTTTCTCCCCCCGCCGCTGTTTTTATATAGACTTCATCCAAACCGTTTAATTTAATACCAAACGGGGGGGAACTTCAAAAATAGCTTGTTTCTACATGATGGTAAAATGCAGAACTTGGCTAACTTGGCCTTCACTCATCCTTTTTTATGGTCTACCCCAAATGGCAACATTTTTTTTCCCTAAAAAAAAAAGGCTGACCATGACGAAAGTATACTGTAATATTTATGTATAAATGGGACAACTCGGGGCGTTACCAAAAAATGCACAATGCGCGAAGGGAGAAAAAAAAAAAAAAAAAAAAGAACAAATGAGAGCAACTTCAATTTTTTCCAACCATTACAACATTCCAAAATTTTCAAAAGAGCTACTTTTCAAATTTCCTTTTTTGGAGTTTGCCTGCCCAGAGAAAGAATATTCATTCTTCAGAGATAAAACAAAAGGAAGCCATTTTAGCAACAGGGGCAAAAGCGAGCATCGTACCACCTACTCAATTGCTCCCACTATTGTGTAGAACATAAGTGAGCTGCCTCTCAACAGGGGCACAAAAAAATACATCTGGGTAAAACTCATCCCTAGGGAACCCATTTGGCACGTTTTTCAAAAATAAATCAGCGACAGGCGAGTACGTCAGGCCAAATCGTCGTTTGCCCCACCCCAGAGCAGGAACAGTCTTGCACATTTACCATTTGCGCCACGCACATGTAACGTACACATACGTACCATACGTGTACATAGTGCCCACAGTGTACACATTTGTGTGGGCATAATCTCCACTGCGACGTAGTGCCAACATGCGTCCCCCAAAAAATGAAAACGGACGTAACACGGAAGGCCAACCGGCAAAAAATACAGAAAGTGCAAACACGTTAAAGAGAAAGGTCAGTGAATTGTACGCCGACGAAGGTTGCCAACATGGCGAAAAGGGTCTACCAGAAGATACCTCCCATTTTGTTCTTAGCAGTGGAAGTGCCGGGAAAAAACTAGGAACTGCCACGGAAAATCATAACCCTGAAAACATTCACGAAAATACAAATGTACATGAAAAGAAGGAGGACGATGGAGTAGTAAACCAAAATGGACAAACCAATACTGAAAAAATGAACACAAAGGAGTACAAACCTTCAACAGATGAACCACCAATTGGGAGGAAAAAAAAAAAAAGAAAAAAAAAATTTAATGAAAATGAAGTCACCAAACCGTCGAAACAAATGATTAGAATAAATTACCTATTGCAAGCATCATTTCTAATGAATGAATTTAACCCGAACATCTCAAGGGAGTATATAAAAACCATGAGAAAACTTTCAAACAAGTTTTTAATAAAATACGACAAAAAATTTAAGAAACTTTTCTGCAAAAAATGCAACTCAGTCCTCATCCCAAGTGCTACTTGCAAAGTTTCTGTTAACCCACTAAATTTGAGGAAAAAAAAAAAAAACAAAAATGAGGAGGTCAGTAGCAATTTAAAGGGCAAGTGCAGAGATGAATTTCTGGTTTCATACCGGTGTAACTACTGCCAGCATGATACGAAATTTGTGTACGAAAATGGTTTGACCGCTCAGCGCGTGAATGAAGCGGAGGTCGCCTGACGGGGATGTAGATCCACAAGTGGATGGAAAAACGCATGTCCAACTGTATAAACATGTTTAGCAGGGAGGGGGTGCTCCGCAAATTGGAACAAAAATTCTGAGCAATGTGTGCGCAAACGTAAGACATGTTAAAACCGGGAAAAACTGCCCCCCCACCCTCCCTACACATGCACACACAGCTTGTAGAAATTGTAAGCTTTGTTCTGTTAAAACCAGAAATGAACAAAAATGGGAAAAAATGAAGCAAAGCAGAGTATAGCAACACGAAGTAAACAAAATTACAAGCTATAATCCATTTCCACAAGGAAATTTACAAAATGGAGTTTTTTTTTTTTTTCCCCCTACCCCTCCCCTTTTTTTTTTTTTTTTTTTTTTTTTACAACACTGCAACAATCTTGCTTGTTCCTGTTGGTGCATTCGCATGTTATTTCTACTTTGGATTACACAACAAAATGGGGCACAAATATTTTTTCACGAATGTATGAATTTTTCAAGATATTTACGCTTGTATATGTTCCTTCTAATTCATCTGTTTTTAACATCCTCTTTGTTTTGTTTTATTGTGTTTTTTTTTTTTGTTTCAGGTAATCATAATCATCCACAGCACTTTTGTTAACATGTACACATGTGTATACGTAATAGCCTTTTTTTTTTTTTTTTTTTTTTTTTTTTTTTTTTGTTTGAAGTGTCTAGATTTTTTGCAACTGCACTTCATTTTCTCATTCGTAAAAGGGAAGAGTAAAAATATTCAATAGCACTTTTGTTTATTGAAATTTTCGCATAAATTTTTCCTAATTAACAACAGACTACCTGGAAATTAAGCCTTTTGGCCATCTCAACATATCTACAAATTTGTGCACATGTGTGTGTGTGCGCGAAGGGTAGCATTATAAATGCGCATTTATACGTATATACTTATCATATGCAAATGTGTTTACCCATACAAATTGACATGCCCTTTTCGGTAGAAATTTATTCACCCCTTTTTTTTATCCCCAAATGATACGCCCTTTTTGCGTAAAAGTTACTTTCCACAAGTGACAGTGCCTACCGCTACGTACACAGTTGTTAAAGTTTAGAGAAGTCAACAGAAAAGTTTATTGGAGTGGAAAATATGAACTTGGCATAGCAAAATAAAAAACATTTTTTTTTTTTTTAATGAAAAAAATTGATAAAAATAAAATTCGCACATTTTTCTTAAAAAATATATGACCATGCAATATTTTTTTTTTTTCATGATTAAAATTAAGTCACAATATCGAAAGCTAGCCATCCTTTTTTTTTTTTTTTTTTTTTTTTTACAACACTGCAACAATCTTGCTTGTTCCTGTTGGTGCATTCGCATGTTATTTCTACTTTGGATTACACAACAAAATGGGGCACAAATATTTTTTCACGAATGTATGAATTTTTCAAGATATTTACGCTTGTATATGTTCCTTCTAA